GGCATCTACCTCTGCGGTCGCCTTGCGTTTCTTGGTGGAGACCAAAGTTCCATTGGCCAGGAATGCGGTGATGTCTCCGAGGCGACTTTGCGTCACTTCCCGCCTGGTCTCCTGCCGCCCAGAAATAATGATATTGTGCTCCTTTCGCAAATGATTGACGATGGCGGACGACCCACCACAGTAATTGTATTTCTTCGCTCTTTTCTTGTCGAAGCAGGGCTGGCAATGCCACCATTTCGTTCCATTGGAATCAACCCAAGCTGCCGGAATACTCCTACCTTCTTCTCTTCGACAATACTGCCAAATAGGAGACGTCTTTCGGCGGTAGACGCTAAGGACAGGCGAAGAGGATGGTGCCGGTGACGGGAAGCCGCTGTCCCACTAATAAGGTCAGAATCATCTATATAGGTGCCAGCCTCAGAGTGATCCACGATGGAGGACATGATCCTCTAGGGAATGCACTAGACCATAAGAGTGGCGATCATGGGAATCTGGCGGAGAGCAGGATTGGTGGGATAAACCGGATTGTTTGTGGCAGCTCCGGTCAGATCATTCTGTGGTGGACAACTTCCTCTTTTGACCACCCTAGGAAGTCCTAGTGATTTGGTTTGGACCACAGAATCCAATTAATTTGAGTTTGCCGGCCAATGATCGGTCATATCCTTTTAGCGTCGGCGCACAACGAAACTTTACATCGTCGCGAATTGTTCCGTACGTGCTCGCTTCGCGCTCGTCTCGCGCTCATCTCGTGCCAGCCAAGCGACACGCCCCAGTGTTCCTAACGTCGGCATCCAATTTGCGTACGCAACGGCGGTGGAGATCCTCAGTTGAGCCTCGACGAGAAGAGCATCAGAAGGCTTGCGGTGCATCGACCTATGAAGCTAATGATTGGTGTAGCTGGGGCCGTAGAAGTGTGGCCGAGGCTCAATCTGCGCTTTGGACTGTAACCCGACTGACAAACTTGAACAAATTGGCAGGGCAACATCCGGTATAATGGGTTTTCTCGACCAGAAACGATAACTTAGCAACATGTTTTGATAGCATAATAAAGTCAATAACAGGCGGAAGCTCTTAGCAAAGCTTGTGTTTAGACGCTTACCAGTATGCTTAATTACAACGGAAAGAAGCGAATGTATTGGCATCTCAACTGCTTCGCATAAATATTGACGAGCCAGCCTGCCTCCTACCCTAGAGATGACAGATAGGTTAGAGGCTACCTGGCACCCCAACTCCCCTGTAAAAATTCTTCACCCCGCGGAGCTGTTAGTGGCTCGTTAGCCGGGACAGGATCTTCAGGCCACCCGACCGCGCTTTTGCTGCGGGGTCCATCGTGACCTAACAGCACAGAGGAAGACCTTAGGAGAGTTCATATTCCTCTGCGAAGCCGGTCTCGACAACATGTCCACTGGACCTCATGGCTCTCTTCGGAACCAAGGAGCTATGGGTATTGGAAGGCCCGCCCTTCTAAACAACGGTGGCCGGTTGCGGAGGTTTTCTCCTGAGGGCAAGCTGCAAAGCCAGCCTCTGATCCTCCAAGAGTTTTTCCTGCCGCCGCTCCCAGTCATTTCCACGGCTTGGTTACTGGAGCGTGGACTGCGGCAGCAGTTTTGGCTGCGAGCGAGAGAATTCTGACCGGACAAAACCAAGGGTTGACCAATTCTTTGTGGCTGCGACCACCCGACACTTTGCCTTGACATCCCGCTGACGGGTACGAGGCTTGACACGAGCGCCATCGAGCCGATGAAATGCTGGATAGGGACAGAAGGGGTTGTTCACGGTAGCGAACTACGAGCGCTGGGTGCATTTAGATGGACAGTGGTTTTTCGAGGAACTCATTCGGGACACTTCTCTGTAACTAGCTCAGCACGTCCTGTGCCCCGTCTCGGAGACCTGAGCGGCCTGAGCCGCTGGACGCAAAATACACAACAACAACAACAACAACAGCTACCTGGCACCCCGCCTTTATACGGTGACATAACGGGTATATCATAACTCCCCGACCGGGGTTCCGCCACTTGGATAATACGCACTTCGTCTTACAGGTTATACATGTTTTTCGTTGGAAATCAATCCGAAACCCTATTTCAAGGTAGTAAAATCCGGGTTGCTGGTAATCATGGGGCGCACTAATAGTGCAACTATTAGTCTGGACCCTTGCACTGAACTACCCGTTCAGTTTGGGCAAGCTACACTGAACCACCAGTGTGGTGTGAGAAACGCACACTACACTAATAGTGCGGCACTAATAGTGTAAACCACAGTGTGCACTAATAGTCCTCTTAATGGTCCACACTATTAGGAGCGCTGGTTTCACTCACGATAATGCTCTACGTCTCTCGCCGTGTCTCGTATCTCGACCTCACTCTTCTTCCTGTCTCCTATCTACTGTCGCCAACTCTCTCTCTCTCTTCTGTAGCCAACTCTTCTCCGGTTCTCTTGTCGCCAAATTTCGTTCCGAAAGGCTTCTTTGCGCGAGCCGCGGCTGGCGAGCCTTCCTCTCGTCCCAATATATGAGGATTTGGTGCAGACAGGGGTCATAAGTTTCTTGGGCTCTGATTGGTCCCAAATTTGTATGTACGGTCGCAAAACGATCAGCAACTGGATGACGGCTCCTAAAAAGTGGGTCCCGGTTTGTTTACTTGGAATGTCGCGTGACTTGGAATGTCGCGTGACATGGAAACTTCACTGACCCAACTCGTCTTGATATCTTGCTTCAAGCCTTCGGCTGAATAATGAGTTCTAGGTCTACTCAAGGGCTCCAAGTTGACTTGGCTTCGATCGTCTGTGCCCGCTGTGGCGAGAAGAAACCGGCAGGTGACTTCGTGAGCAAACGGAAAACTGGCGGGAACACCAAGAACTGCCTGGACTGTCGGAGTCGGTGCAGTTCTCATGTCAGCTCTGTCTTCCCGCTCCGTATGACATTCAATACTAACGAAGTGAAGTGTTCAAGATCCCGAGGGGCGATTCTGACGTTGAGGGACCTCGCCGCCCGTCCTTCCTCGCCTGGGAGAGCTAGCGTGAAAAGAGTCGAGGCAGATGCTGACCTGTCGCCTCCCAGCGAGAGATCGGGAACCCAGCCTAGTTCGCCGGAGAAGCTACGACGACTTCATGCAGCTATGACGTTATTCAAAAAGTCAATTAGCCAGCCGCACATAGAGCTGGGAACGCCAATTCCACCAACCCAACAAAGCTCGCGGTTCTTCCGGGCGCTGGCCCCGTCACCTGCTGAGCAGCCAGCGACCGATCCAGTCGCCTCCCATTTTGATCCATCGACTGCCCGAGGCAACGCAACCAGAATGAATTATTCTTACCTGGCTGCTAGATTTCACAAAGGCGGGAAGGTATCGCAAGATGATCTCTACCGCAGGGGCTAGGGTTAAGCTGGCCGCTATCCAGCGCGACCATCGATCACGACGTCGTGCAGGGAGACTGTGTCCCTGACTCCTTCCATATCTCAACTCGGCGTCTCGGAAGGTTCGGGTGTCCTGGATAAGATGTCCCTTGTGTTTTCGTTGCAGCAGTGTGTTCGGGCTAACAGGGAAGTAGATGCGAGTCGAGATCGGCCGCAGCCGAATGGGGATCAGGTAGCCAAGGAAGGGGGCAATAGAGACCAGTTTTCCGAACCCGATATGGACGCCGAGGACTATTTCAACCTGCTGCTTTCCCCCGCTCGACCGCGTCGCTACCGTGAACAATTAGGGGCTGATTGTAACTCCGATGCCGAGAACGAAGACGAGAACAGCGATAACGATTCAGTGTATGAAAGCCCTGTTCGTAGTCGCTTGCAGCAGCCGTCTGCGCGGCCAAGACGCGGCCGCCGTGGTCCTGCCCTGGCACAGGAGGGCGGCCGAGACAACCGGGAAGGCGAATCCAGAGACAACCTCGACGGCAATATCGACTGTCGCGGCCGCCACGGCGTATTCGAAGTCCAGTGATAATTCCACCGGAAGAAATGGCGGTCTTCCGTGCACAAGATCCGGCGTGGACTGGCGACCTGGATGCTTGGGCCTTGACGGACTGCGATAGGGCCACCCTCCGTGAGTTCTGGACCAAGCTCAACAATGACCAGATGGAATACTGCAGCCGATGCCGCGAGTGTTGGTTTCAGATGGAAATAGATTATGACGGCATTTGTTCGCGTTGCTATCGAAAGGATGAGAAACGTGGCCCCGACGAGCCTTACTTCTTCTCTGCGGAAAACCAGCTCGACTTTGGCCCCGTACCGACCCGATTGCCCGAGCTCACACCTACCGAAGAGGCATTGATTGCTCGTGTCCATGTCCACGTGAACATTATGCTTGTGCGGGGGCAGCAGTACAAGTATCGAGGGCACGTCGTTCACTTTAGTGCAAGGCGTGGCGCAGTATTTTACATTCCCACACTGGCAACTTTTTCTTTTTGTGGTTGGAGCTGCTGTAGTGACCGGGGTAAGAAGATGTAACGACCGTGAGGGAAGGAGGGCTTCTTGACCAGGGCTCCGTTAAGGTCTTAATGAAGTAGCTTTGTTAAGATCTTGACGAATTCTTCCCACACTGGCAATTTTTCTTCTTTTGTGGTTGCTGTGATATTGTCGAAATAGATACCAAGACGGTCCAGATCAGCCAAAGAAAGCAAGAAAGGGGTAGGGGTCTGAAGGATGTGGAACGTTATCCTTCCGACGGGTGTTTTGAGGGCGATTGAGCCGATTGCGTGAATGGCTTCGCCGTTGCCGAATTTGATGGTAGCCTGGCCGGATGTCGAGCTGTCTAGGGCTACATTTGGGTCTTCTCGCTGTAAAGCAATGTACTGGGAATGACCAGCTGTAGAGACTTTTGGCTGCACCTGTGTCAATCATGATGCCTTAGAATTTGTCCTTAGAATAGCGGTCTTCAATGACAAATTGTGAGGCAGGAACACTGTTCACTGTTCTTGGTGATCGTTGGTGCTATTATCAGGTTCTTCTCATATGTCGTCGGTAGTGAGTTCATCAAGCTCATGACCTTCGTAGTCTATAAGATAGGCTATGAAGTTTGGAGGTTGTATGCCTGTGAATTGACAACGTGCGACATATTGGTCCTTGGCCTCTTGTCGTTCTTCTGCAGAGTGTTTGGTTGACCAGCAACCTTCTTGTCCACAAACAAAGCACTTTTTGGTCCAATTGCGATTGGTGTGGCTAGGGGTGTAGTTGCTATGGCTTGAGGGCCTGTAGCTTTCACGGTTGTAGCCTTGTCCATATCCGCGATTGGGTCATTGTCCTGAGTATCCGTATCTTCCTCGTACGCGGTTGTTATGGTATCGGCGATCGAGGTAGTACTGATTGTTCGGATTCGTTGGTCCAAATGATCCGTCAGGGCTTTGCAAGTACTGAGGGTTTGTCTGTCGGGCAAGGTGGGTCTCAACGGAAGATCGTAGATCTGCAAAGAGGGTCTCGATCTTTGCTGCAGGTTTGAAGAGGGCGTGTTCAAGTTCGGGTACACCACGGCATGCGATGATAAGCGTAGTACGCAGTGGAATGTTTCCTGCGTAGTCAGGGCCAAGGGCTCTCTGACAGAGTTGTAGCTTATCGAAGAGTAGTTGAAGGACTTCATGGAGGGATTTGGAAGCATCTTGGGCACGAATCGAGTTGAAAGTGGTTGTGGTCCAATCTGTATAGTAATGGACGTGGTTAACTTCCGTGTCAAAGTGTTGTTTGATGCTGTCGTATGCCTTCCTAAACGTGGTAGTCCATTCGATCTTGTCAATGTAGAACGTTTGTGCTCTTCCGGCGAGGATTCGGGGGAAAAGGGCGTGAAATTGTGACGGTTTCACTTGGATGTTGTAGCAGATACTCATAAAGATTCGGATCTTGTCATCGAGGAGGTCGTACGGCTCTCCTGTGTAGTTCTTGTCCTTGTCCCAGAGTTTCATGAATTTCTGCTGTGTGTCGCCATCGACGGTGGCGTTCGGGATATCATCCGGTGGGAGTTTTGTGTATGCCTCGAGGGACATAGGCTCGGATAATAGTTCGGGTTGGGGGTGGACGGGTTGGACGAGTTCGGGTGCTTAAAGCGGTGTGTTGTCGGATGAACTGTAAGAGAGGTTGGGTCAAGGGCATCTTGGGTCGGAGCGGAAGTCGGGAGGTGATGTTGTTATCGGTAGTGCCTCAGTGATGGGTTCCTGGGCAGGTGGCTTCGTTAAGGTCTTAATGGGCTGTTGTTCGTTAAGATCGTAACGAGATGTTGCTACCGGCGGCGATTGGGGTCCTCGGGGAGAAGTTAGAGCCTTTGATCCTGCTGCTCGTAACTTATGAGCGGTTGTCCCAATGTCAAAATCGGTCTCCATGTACTCTCGTTCTGGCCATGCAGGTCGGTCCTCCGCAGTTTGCAACATGATGAATTGGGGTGCAAAAGGGCCATTTTTCCGTCCTGTATAGATGCCACGTCTCCTTAGAAGTAATCTAAGGGCTCTCTTGTAGTCCATATGTACCCGGTTCCATATGTCTTGGTTCCAGCCTTCGAAGTGTTGTTGAAAATGGTCAAGGATGTCGTCTCCTTCTAGGCGTTCGAATTGGGCATTGGACATGAACCTAGCGGCGTACGTCGTAACTGCGATCTCATCTTCCTCGTCAGGTTTGATGTCTTGTCCCCAAAGGGTAACATCAACTTTATCGTATACGGATGTCTGGATAGCTAGTCCTTGCATCCGTTCGCTCAATTGTTCGAGCTGGGCGCTCTCGTTCGGAGTCGTAGCTCGGTCGGTCGGGGTCATCGTTGATCAAGTGAATGAGACGATGGAGTCGTATCTGGCTGTCGAAATACGTCTTTGTCGGGTCTAGTAACAACTGTTGATCGATGCCTTGCAGCCGATAATAGAAGTCGCTAGGCGATGTGGTCGCACTACTAATCGATGCCTTGCAGCCGATTAATAGCTTGGTAGGTTCTCCCAGATGCCTTGCAGTCTGAGATAGCCACTTAGCACAAATAACCTTCCTTAACCGATGCCTTGCAGCCGATCTTGAAGGTTAGCGATTTGTCTCTTCTGTCCTAGCTGTCTGTGATTGTCACTGCAATCACTGATCAGTGTTGGCAGGGCTCGAGCATGAGACAAACTGGGAACGTCGTTCAACCGGTGTGTCGTATTATGCTATGAGGATTGTCTATCGAAAAGGGGGAGGAGGCCACGATGCTAGTTATGTGGCCTCAGCCGTCCTCAGCAGCACACGTGACTGTGTACGTAAGCTAGCTAGATGAGTACAATAGACTAATACATTCCCACATAAAGGGACTTTTTCGTAGGTAGATTCTCAGATGATCTGATAGTCGGTGATGTGCATGTGTTGATTGCTCTCCCCCCGGTTGCCTCCTTTCCCGTCCAAACAGCCCCTTTTATATCCCTCCAAGTTTCTCCCAAGTTGATATCCCATTTTCAGGTATAATATACATTCTATCAGGAAGAGGGCACTCCTTGCCTCTCACTGAAGGCCGCGTAAGCCATCTACGTCAGCACATTCAGCTCGATCTCCCCGATCAATAGCTTTGCAAGCTATTAGGTCGATAGTTCAATTTCTTGAGGTCCCCGAGCCAGTAAAAGATATACCGGACTCCTTGGAGGATCCCGTTCGAATAGGAGATCCTCCGGACCCCTCAGTGGTCTAGGAAGAAGAAATAACAGTCTGCAGACTTCCCTTCTTACCTGGTTTCAAGCTGTATTACCTAGAGAGACCTAGAGACCTCAACTCGTTCGGACCTTCTTCTCGACAATTATAGCAAGATCGGTGAAGAGTCAGTCGTGGTTCGTCACTTTCCCAGTACACAGTCTCCCATGTCGGGAGTGGCGCAAGCAGATAGCCGTGCAGTGAACGCGCCTCAGATGCCGCCCACCATGGATGTAAGGCGCACACAACTAAACAGAGAGTGAAGAACGGGGGTCAATCATTCAATTCATTGATCTCTGAAGATCCCATAAATCCCGAGAATAGGCACCCTTCTTATATGATAGCATCCTCCGTTTCCTGACGGCCTACTCCGAGACATCTCAGAGGTATTCCTTCTCCTAGCGCGTGACAGCATGATTGTAGATACTGTACTGATTGTTCGGTGACTGCTTGACTGATAGCCAGACTCGCAGCCTTCGGCTGATTGTACGCCTTGCACCACAGCCCTAAAGTGCAAGGTGTGGCGCAGTATTTTATCCCAGCTATTCGTGCCCGCCCTGTGGGTATGGCGACGCCAGTCTGCCATGTCTGCCTAACTGCCCGCCTATAATGCTTGTCTGCGGACCAGCACAATGCTCACGGCCGAGGAAGTCATACTCTACCCGTGCTTCTCTATCCTTGATTCTGCCATTCGCCACGCCCAGCCCGCGCTCATGTCTGATAGTCGTTGTCACGACGACGCCAGACGGCGTCTTGTTATCCAGGTCGGCGGCAGCGCCACGGGTGGCAGAGGATCTCCCCGTGTCAAAGATGGAGTCTCGTTCTGTCGATGACTGTGTCGGCTGCAAGTTACACGGCGTCTCGGCGTCGCAGGGCACCATGACTCCATGTCCGTTTGACGAGCCTGACATAGTCCCAGCGTTGTCCTCGTTTGTGACCCACTGGATGATTATGGCCGAGAAGAGGACTGGGTGACAATGTCAGATCCATGACAGTTGAAGAGGAAAGAGTTCAGTGAGAGAGGGAAACCAACTATCGCCATTGCAACACATCAGACACACCCACCCCGGCTCCCCGTTTAGGGCCATGAGGACCGTGAGGTTACTAAGGTCGTATCACTCAGCTGTCCCCAATGATGCTTTGTCGGTTACCCACACTATGCTGCTAATCAAGGTAGCCGAAGCGCCGAAAAAGGTACGGAAAGCCACCCTCCGCAGACGCGCATTAGCTAGGCTGCGCGACATTGCCTTGAATGAATGGAGCCCTGCAGGAACATGGAATGTCAAACTTGATGCTCGTATATTCCGGAATGCCTCTGGGGGTTACTCTTACTTCTCAGGGGGATGATGAACATGGACGTCAGATAAACGTTGACAACCGTGTCAAAGGAAATAAGGGGGATCATCGCCAGACCCTTCATGCCGATGATACAGATTCCGTGTTCTATCTTGGCGATGCGACTGCAGATTGGTCACAAACCTGGCCAAGGAACTGGAGCCAGCGACGGGAGAATGGCCAACCAACAAGATAAAGTTGAGCAGAGCAACGACGACGTAAACGCCCAGCATGCCAAAAGAGTTGAAAATGTATAGCTTGGATTGCATCCTCGGTTTTCGAGTGCCGCGAATAACGTGCTAGCATCGAGACTCGTCAGCTAGCCGGTCCAATAATCGATACATGAGATGGTGCACTTACCGCCTTTTCAACCAAGAAGAGATATATCAACTAGACGCCACTCTTTTGCTTTAGTTTATGCGACGTGGTGGAGCCGGTTGACACGCAGAGAGGCTTACAATCTAGACGTTTGTCGGCGTGGTTAGAGAAGGACCCAAGAGAGCCGGCAACAAGACAAAACATACCTTAGTGGTGACATAACACACCAGGCACAGCAGAATGGCGCCTTGGCAGGTTGACAAGCTGGAGTTGACGCCAACAGAGTGCTGCAAAATTGCCGTGGCGATGACAAACATATATGAATCGATATATATGGCGAAGACGACTACCCTTGTTGCCAGCCGCCCGAGCAGTCGTCAGCTAGCCATGCGTAAAAGATATTGGGGTATTAAAACGTACGCCACACCACAAGCGGGAGACGACTCCAGGCTTTAATGGCGAGAGTTCTTTGCACTATAATGAAACCCCAGTCAGTTCCACTGGCTTCGGTGTTGGGGGGCGTTGGGCGATGATTCAAGAATAAAGGTCCAAGGAAACATACTAAGGAACAGCGTTAAGACGGTGGTGGAGGCCAAGGATAGCAGTACGCTAAAGATCTGACCGACGAGCGGCGCCCCCTTTGCCTCCATGGTTGGCGACCCTGACTTGGCCGTGGCCTCGCTTGAATGTTGTTTGGGGGGTTTGTCAGATGGATGGATTGATGGACTGCGAGGCGAGGGTGTAAAAAAAGCAGCAGTGTAGGGGTAGTCTTTGACATTAATAAATGACGAATGGAGGGGAGCGAAAACGGGGGGAGAGTGTAATTTTGTACCAAGTACGTGCTGCCATGACTGCTGCATCTGCATCGTCAAGAAACCAGGCAAAGAGACCAAGTCGCCATGAGACGCATGCACGCACCTACCCTCTATCATATCCCCTTGCTTCCAAGCCGGCCAACCAAGAGCCGGAATGCCAGTTTCCCGGAGTTATTTACGAGGGCCCTCGATCCAAAGATAAATAAATAAAATCGATAGTGTACAATTTGGCCTCGGCAGGTGGCTAGGAACCGGATAATACGGAGTAGAGAAGCGCGAGTCCAAGATTGACAAAGGATCCACCAATGAAGCACATTCAGCCCTGCAGCTTTCGGCAGTCGGTCACAACGTGGCACATCACCCCAGCATAGGCAGGCCAAATTTAGGTATACCTGGTGTCCTTTCACGGTCGAGACCGTCTGCGAAAAGACTTTCTTTTGCATGTTCCCCTACCAAGCACACACGTACCACAGAAGTCCCGCCCACGTACTGTCGATATATGTCATGTTGACGGCTTGGGATTCTCAATAACTACCGTTCTGGAGCTGCAATTCCCATTGAGACGACATAGAGCATGGGCAGGAGATATGCGGTCGTGCATAGAGCACTTCTCATGTCCAACGGCTACCCGATAGTTGTTGTGCTAACTATCGCCGGGGTCCTTGCACGGCGGACATAAAAACATTACATAATACATGCGCGTGCCTGACTCCACTTTTTTGGGATTCGTTTTGGCGTGAGGGGCGGGCACGAGTACTCCTTTTAGAGGTGAATATGCTTTTTATCCACCATGACATCTTCACACCCCGCTCGCATGCTTTTAATATGATACCAATACCCTGAAAATTCGGTTGTCTTAAGCCACTTCCATAGTTTCCAGCCAAATATTAGGGGGACATGAGGTTGCTTTTTCGGTTTAGACTTGTCGCGAAGCAGATTTGATGTTCAATTGTTCGAACATGTCATCTGAACAACACGTGGCTTGATTTTTCGTGACCAGACTAAGTCACTGGGCATGTGCGCACTGACGTCCTTGTGCTGCTCCTGCCGAATCGAGTTAGCCGGCTTGTATATTCGCACTTCAACTCATGCGGGCACAGGAATTCAGCATGAGTTTGCTATTTTTCGTCATAGATCGCGCCCCCTATAAGCCTCTCTTGTGTCCTCCAGCACACAATGCCTTTGTTCAACTTCTTGTCGTCTCTTCTAACTGTAGGTTTCCCCTCGGATTTGCGTCTTTGGACGCTGGTCCTCTTTCTCTTTCCCTGCCGCGGGGCTGCGTTTGATTCAAGGCCTCATCTCTTAGTAGCTACGTGGAGCCTGAAGGGTGTACTACCTATCTCACACGGCGGGCTTATTGGTGCCGCAGAATCGACGGTCGTCTCATGTAGGGCATGGCGTGGAGGCGGATGCGGGCGCAGAAGGGCCAGCCCTGCGGGGCTAGCTTTTTCTTGGTCGGATTACCCGTTGGCGGGGCCCAGCTTGCCCCCCTAGTTGGCACCCGAAGGGCCCCGCCAACGGGTACTAGGGGGGACTAAAATTCGTCCCCCATCCCCCTCCTCTGGGAGGGGGGGGCGGGCGACCGAGGAAAAGATAAGCGACCGGGAAAAGTCGATACCTAGCCGACAAGCCAAAATTGCAGTGAC